AGTGAGTTATTGGCAGAGTCATGCTATGTTTTTGAGATCGAAGAATGCAGTTCAAGTAATCTGTTTGATGTGTGATTTGAATGCACCTGCTGTTCCACCTGCCACTGTGGCTTCACCACAGTCCAAGGCTGCAGTATTATCTCTAAGCTGCACTGGCAGAGACCCCACTATTTTCGATTTTTTTTTAATTTAGAGAACATATTGCAGCTCCATCGAATCAATCCTGTGACAACACCAATCTCAGAGGAAGAATCCAACGCAGAGGCAGCGAGAATATGATTATAAAAGGCAGTTTTTTTAAGCAGGGTTGATGGGAGCTTAGCAGAACCCTGCTTAATGATCCGTGGCCATCTTGCGCTCCAACACCAAGGTTTTTAACATTGAAACTGGAGGCCAAATTAACACCATCCAGAGAAAGTGAAAGTGAAAGACTGCACAATGTATTCCAAAGATTCTCAGGTCCAAAAATCACAACCTATGTCTTGTCTGAGTTTAAAAGCAGAAGATCAAGGGTCATCCAGGTATTTATGTCTTTAAGACATGCTTGTATTCTAAGTAACTGATTGGATTCATTGGGTTTCATGGACAAATATAACTGTGTATCATCAGCATAACAATGAAAAGTTATCCCATGCCGTTTAATAACTTTACCCAATTGAAGCATATATAAAGTAACTGGTAAATGAACTGTGCTTATAAAGCACCTTTCTATCCAATCAAGATACTCAAAGTGCTTTACAACACAATCTGTGCCCTCATTTACCTTCATACATACATTCATACAGCACTCTACCCATGCATTAGAGAAAAATTAAGCAGATCCAAAATGTGAATATTAATTGGGAGAAATACCTTTTTAAACAGTCTGGTTGGGATGGGATCTATCAGACATATGGATGTTTTCGATGAAGCTATTATTTTTGACAATTCAGAGCGGTCAATAGGACAAAAACTATTCAAACATAAATTAGGTTCTAGTGACATTTCTAATGCTGCCTCATCTGACAGGGAACCAGAGGCAATAGTTAGAAGGATGGTTTGAATTTTCTCTCTAATTGAAATAATTTTATTTATAAAGAATCTCATGAACTCATCACTGCTTATAGTTGTAGGGATACATGGCTCAACAGCAATAGGATTTTTCATTAGAATAGCTAAGTTACTGAAAAGGAACCTAGGGTTATTTTATTCTCATCTATTAAACATGAATAATATAAAGTTCTGGCTTTATGGAGAGTTTTCTTATACATTAGCAAACTATCTCTCCAACTTAAATAAAATTCTTCCATGTTAGTGGAGTGCCATTTTCTGTCCAGCTTTCTAAATACCTGTTTTAAAGTACATAACTCAGAATTGATGCAAGGAACCAGTCTCTGGCTGATTACTTTTTTTTTCCAGCGAAGCAGTTTTTTTGAGTGAAGTTTGCATTGAAGTTGAAAAATTATCAGCAATAATCTTTAATTAAAGCTGCAAGCAGCATTGAAGGCCCTCGCAACAAAGCGCTGCTACGGCCTTACAGCAACCGCAGGAGCTCCAGCGACTCCGTCCAGTCGCCATCGCGAATGTTCTCGCTCCCGTCCCGTGTCCGTTCACTGGGGTGCGCATTTGCTGAACCTTCTACAGCACCCCCGACAGCGGGTGCTCTATCAACGCCTCCCAGTCGCCGTCGCGAATGCTCTCATGCCATTCCCGCACGAGTCCACCAGGGTGCACATATGTCTCAACTTTGCAATCGCCTTCCGCCCATATCAGTACGAGAGGGGGCACAATTGAGACATATGTTAAACCATAATATCAATGTGTTTAGACGTACGTGTTCACTGATTATGCACAAAAAATTTGGTTCTGATCATATGATAATAATTCACTGAGATATAAATTTTGGAATAATCTAGGGGGCGCACTTGAGTCAAATATTAAAGAGCAATACCAATGTGTCTATAAGTGTCCACTGATCACGCACAATCCATCTTGTACATATTGAATGATATTTCACAGAGATATAACTGTTAGAATAATCTAGGGGGCGCACTAGAGTCAAACGTTAAACAACAATACCAAAGTGTCTAGACTTGCTCACTGATCATCCACAATAAATCTGGTACATATTGGATGATATTTCACTGAGATGTAACTGTTGGAATAATCTAGGGGGCGCACTGGAGTCAAAATTTAAAAAACAATACAAATGTGTCTAGAAGTGGTAACGACGCACCAAAAATCTGGTGCAGATCAGATGATATATCACTGAGCTATAACTGATTAAATAGTCTAGGGGGCGCACTTGAGTCATATGTTAAACCACAATACCAATGTGTCTAGACGTGCTCACCAATTATGTACAAAAAAATCTGGTTCTAATCGGATGATGTATCACTGAGATATAACTGTTGGAATAATGTAGGGGGCGCACTAGAGTCATATGTTAAACAACAATATCAATGTGTCTAGAAGTACTCACTGATCACGCACAATATATCTGGTGCAGATCGGATGACGTATCACTGAGGAATAATGGAATAATAAGGAACTGTAGGAATAATGTAGGAACTGTAGGAATAATGCAGGTGGTGCTGTGGAGGCTATTGGCCACTTATCATGGATACCTGTTCAAGGGGTGGATAATGATTGATCATAGTGATTTTTGTGCACCTCGGCTGAAATCTGTGTATTTTAGAGCCAAACGTATTGCAACGGTGTCACTTCTTGATTTGCCACGCCGCCACGCCCACATCCTCCAGCAAAAACGGTTTGCACTTTAACGCAAGTCAGATCATCTTATCTGTCTTCTAACACAGGATTATCCTGATTAGGCCAATGGTGTCAAAGAGGGAGCATTCCAAGTAAAAAAAAAGAGACTTCCTGTTCCGAGGGGGCAGGGCTTTGATTACGTCAAAATATGACTACAGTGGATCTTCGGACATCTAACAGGGATGAATCATGCCAAGTTTGGTGCATTTCGGTCTTTCAATGTGAAAGTTATAGCGTTTGGAAATTTATGGTGTGAAGCGCAACTTTGAGGCCTGGCCACGCCCCTTTAAGATAAACAAAAATGCAAGCTTTTGATAACTTTTACTCCCCAATGTGCTAAGGGTATATTAACCAAGTTTGAAGGCAATCACTCAAAATCCCTAGGAGGAGTTCGTTAAAATTTGCCATTAGAAACGCCCAAAAATGACCCTTTGACCCAAAATGGCTGACTTCCTGTTGGTTTTGGACCAGGGCTCCAAGAGACTTTTTCATAGGTCCTGAGACGATACAAATGTTCACCGATTTTTAGAATTATTGGTCCAAAAATGGCTTTTGGCTGAGGTTTTAAAATATTCTAGGGGGCGCTGTGAAGGCTCTTGGGCAATTATCATGGCTTCCTGTTCAAGGGGTGGATAATGATTGATCATACTGATCTTGGTGCACCTCAGTTAAAATCTGTGGAATTTAGAGCCAAACGTATGGTGACAGTGTTGTATCTTATTTTGCCACGTCGCGACGCCCACATGCTCCACCCTAAACTGTCAGTTTTGGAAAGCAAGTTACACCAACATGTCTTCGGTCACTGGACACACAATCATGCTGATCAGGTGACAGGGGTCAGCTAGGGGACCGTTCAAGGTAAAACTTTACACTTCATGTTGTAAGGGGGCGTGGCTTAAGTGATGTCATGATTTGACAAATCAGTCTTGCAGGGGACCGGATGTGGATCAATCACTGAAGGTGTAGTAACATCCACATCAATACTTGGGTTCATTTAATAAAACAGTAGACACCTTGGTTCTGTTTGACAGCAAATGGGGGTTTATTTGAAGCTTAGCCCATAGGCCGAAAAGCCAGGGATACCTCCGGGACCTCAAAAGGCAGAACCCCTGTTAACAGTACAGTATCTTTTTTATACCTTCCATTGACGTCAGAAGTCAGAAGGTTGTATAACACTTTATCAGTCCTTTCCCATTTTAGGAAGACGCTTGAGAATAACAAATTCTTCTTAGGTCAGCTTGACATAAGCACAGTACTCGTTGCTAAAACAATTCTGAGTTATCAAAACAGTCCTGACGGGAAACAGTCTTATACAACAGTTGATCTTGCGCCCAGAAATTCCTGGTACTTTTAAACAAGTACAGGTCAACTTCAGTCACTTCTCAGAATCTGTTAAAAACAAGTTCTGTTGAACACAGTTGTTTGTAAGTTAAAATACATTTGCTTTTGGCCTCATTAAACAGATTATCAAATTAATAAAGTTTCTTAGATTCTACAAAGGTTTGATGTCTCAGACAGTTTTCGTGTAGGAGCTATTAGCGTTTCATTTTTCATGGCGAGATGTCACACATTGTGGTCTGGCCCCGCCCCGCCCCTTCAGCCTGCTTCGGTTTGCACCGTTTTGATAACTTTTCGTTCCCCATGCCTTTTGACCAAAATGGCCACGTTTGAAACCGACTGAGCGAAATCCCTAGGAGGAGTTCGTTCAAATGCTTAGGCTGTAAACCACCAAAAAAGTGTGAAAATTGGACGACATTCGAAAATGGCCTTCTTCCTGTTTATTGTACGTTGGTGCCAGAGGGTTTTCTGTGCACCTTGCGGAATTGGACAAGTGTACCAAATTTCATGTTTCTATGACAAACTAAGGTTAATGCAGAGGGTATTTTGAAAATTTCCAGGTGGCGCTCTTGAGCCGTTTCTGTTGCAATTTTTGCCACGCCCTTAAAATACGTAATTTTTCACCAGTCCTGATGCGTCTGCCAAATTTGGTGACTTTTGGGATATGTTAAGGCCCCCAAAACGCCAATTCATTTGGCGGAAAAAATTGCAGCTCGGGCCAGAACAGAGCGATTACAATAGGCCTTTGCAGCGCTTAGCTGCTCAGGCCTAAATATGTTTTAGTTGTTGACATCAGTAGAAGCATGATAAAATATTTCCAAATGTCTAAGATACTTGAATCTTTCAAATAAATAATAAAAAAGAAAAAAAACAACACTGCAATAACATTCTTGCTTTAATTTTTTTTTCAGAGGGCTTGTATTGACTTTGCCATAAATGCCAAACCTTTGACACGCTACATGCCCAAGGACACACAGTCCTTCCAGTATCGAATGTGGAAATTTGTGGTCTCAGCTCCATTTGAGTACTCCATCATGATTATGATCGCTCTCAATACTGTTGTCCTCATGATGAAGGTAGGAGAAAACATTCATTTTTATGAGATCTTTTCAATTTGTTTGTATTATCAGTCTTTTCTCATTTTCATTCCTAGGTAAAGTTCATGTTCGAGTTTGTGAACCTTCCCAAAAATTGTAGTTTTTTAAAAATTTGGAGTTAGATACAAATATTTTTTATAGTTTTATGTTATACTAAATAGCCACTATTATGAGACTATTTCACCTCTCTTGCTGCAAATCAGGACAAGAGGTGAGACGTAGGTACACTGCCTGTGAAGAAACTATCTGATTACCCACATCCCCAAAAACTCACTGTTTGGAGGAGAGTGTTTTAAAATATTTTTTAATTAAAATTTACTAGCATTCCTTGAAGGTAAGCACATTATTGTTATTGTGATATCTGACTTGTAAGTCAGTGATAAAATTGTATCATGAGGATGACTGTCAGCTACTAACCAGAAATTCACCTCAATTCGTGTAAACCTGACCGTCAAGAGACATTTTTATGTAGGCTTTTGTTAGTTGTGTCAGCCATGTTAATTTGGGATGACTTCAAGTACTAATGATTCATAAATGTAGATGCAGAAATTATTTTTTGAGACTTTCACTCAAAACAGTCAGTGCCATAGAGCACAAGCCAAGATTTTGGACATTGGATCATGTGGGCATGCCTGGAGTAGAGGAAAGATTTTTTTAGACAAGTGCATCCTGAAACAGCCTCCTGAAACAGCCTTTGTTCCTGTTCTTTAGTTTCATGGAGCTCCGGACTACTATGATGCAATGCTCAAGTACCTCAATGTGGTGTTTACCTTTCTCTTCTCTTTCGAGTGCATCCTGAAGATCATTGCTTTTGATCCACTGGTGAGTACCATGAGGTTCTATCTATCTGTCTGTCTGTCTGTCTGTCGGTCTGTCCATCTATTGATTTATTGATTGATTTCAGAACTACCTGAAAGATGCCTGGAACGTGTTTGACTTTGTGACTGTGTTGGGCAGTATCACTGACATCCTGGTAACAGAAATCAATGTAAGAGCACCTCCTCCCCGCACACACAGACCCCCACAGCACAATAATGTATTGCATCCACAAAAAAGTGTTGTGATAAGTAGGACCCACATCCAGCAAACATGAGGCTTCATGGCAGCAACATGAGCAGAAAACTTCCCGTGATAGCAGTCAGATGTTTTCAGGGTTTGAGCTAGGAAGTGGTTGCATGATTGGAGACATTTTGAAATGTCATAGGAGGTGAATTCACCTCAAAGATTAATGGGATTGTCTGATCATTTGTGAAGTGATGCTCTGTAGACAGTTATCAGTAGTTAGTGCCACATGAGGTGTGACATCAGTCAGAGAGCAAAAAATGTGAAGAAAAGATAAAAGTCTTCATCAAAGCATACTAGGCGAATGAGGATCAATTTCATATATGATGTTTTTAAGTCTAGAAACCAATTTAAAAAAAACAACATACAAAGAACATTACATACTTTACCCCTACACTTTTGTACAACACTTTATGAGTTGCTGTTTTCTCAGCTGAACAACCTATGTTATTAGGTGAATTTTTGTGTGCTGAAACTTTTTGTGCCATCACTGCTAAAGCTGCTGAGCTGTTCACATGATCAGACCTAATTTTGGAAGCAGATGTGGCACAGTGAAAAGGCAGACCAAATAGACACCATGACAAGCCCACATGTTGCAGTGTCCTTGAAAAACAAATATTACCTAACTGTCCCCTGGGTGCTGAAGTATCCGAACTCTGCTCCACTTGGGTGTATCTGTCATGTGTGATGGAACAAATATCATCATTGTATGTGACAAGAACCAGATTTAGGGATTCTAACCAGATCACAAACAGGAAGGTTTAAAATATTTATTGATGAACTGCTTCTGGTGGAGGTCTGAGTCCTTGGGCCAGCATGATCTGGAGAGACAGGAAGGTTAGTGGATTGGAGTTTGATGGCTTTGGTGTGACAGTTCAGTTTATAAACATCAACCTTTATAAACAGATGAGGAATAATTTCCTTAGAAGAGTTGGTTTCTATGAAGTCACAGTTGGAGAAGGTGAGCTGGTTTTGAGGCAGGACTGAGCATGAAGCAGTTAGGAGGGAGATCCAGAAGACAGGTCCAGGGAGACAGGCGAGGGTCGAGCACAGGTGGTCAGAAATCCGAAACCAAACTTTAATCGTGATCTGGTAGATGTGGTCGTTGTAGAGAAGGCAGAGGTCGTTACCATGAGCAGAGTAAATAATCCAAAGCAAGCAGCGGACGAGCAAGATGGGTAATGCGTAAAACAGGCATGAAGTCAGGACCAGGAAGACAAACGAAACTGTGGCATGGACGCTGGACATTTACTCACTGAGGCTTTCAATAATCTGGCACTGAGTAGAGTGACTGTGGGGTTTAAGTAAAGGGAAAAACAGGTGAGCTGCATGAGGGCTGATTGCAGTGACTCAGCAGAGTGGGTGTGGTTAAGTGAGGTGCAGGTTGACAGGAGATGAACAACATGAACAGAAACCAGAGATGTTCCCCGGACGTGCTCATAGAGTGCGTAGAAGAGCGTTGCGTTTTCGGGAGCGTGAAATTCAAACTTGGACAGAAAAACTTTTGATGGAAAATTGTGGATTTTGGACTGGACGGTTGGCATAAGCTGGAATGTGACTGGGTCAGAATGGCAAACCAGGTAGGAGATAACGAGGAGGACATGATGTTAGAGGCTTGGACGCAAGTAAGAAGAGGAAAAGGACAAGGTCGAGGAAGCGGCGGAGATGTGAAGGAAGGTGGGAGGGTGTCGGATAGTCAAGGAAATAAAAGAGAATTAGAGGAAAATAGTTCGGATGAAGAAAGAACAATTCGTAGGAAGGTCATGAGGGAGGAATTTAAAATAATTCTCAAGTTTAAGAGGGAGGAAAGCCAGGGATACTTAAGCCCAATTACATGTATGTCATCAACTGCACAGATCAGGCTAAACACAGAACAGAGAAGATTAAAATAATAGCAAGGGGGGCAGAACAGTTTCTGGGAGTCAAAGAGGCGTCTTGGGAAAACATAAACAAAGGGCTGGAAATAGATGGGAGACCGGTAACACTGGGCGATAAACCCATATGTTAATACTACAATGGAACGCCAGAAGTCTTATAGCAAATGGACAAGAATTTAAGGGATATATTGAAAAATTAGAAGAAAAAACAGAAATAATATGTATACAGGAAACATGGTTAAAAGCAACATTAGAATTTGTAATTGGTATGGTATGGTATAAAGTTTATTCATTTAAAAAAGTACAAAACAATTCCATAACAATATAAAAAAAAGATACAAAAGATTTAAAATGAAAGGCAGCAGAAAGAAGAAAAAATCTTATTATATTTGCCCCTTTTTTCAAACAATTATTTCAATCATAATAATTTTCAAGTAACAGAACAAAATGAATAACTCTTTCTAATTTTTCTAATTCTAATACAAAACACACACTAAGCTACTTCATATATACTTTTTTAACAATTCAGCTTTGATCTTTAATTTTTTCTTTAATTAACCCTTTAATTAAAGGGTATGATAGCATCAGAAGGGATCGGCAAGAGGGAAATGGAGTAGGGTGTGGAATATTTATAAAACAAGGAACACAATATCAAATATTATGAAAATGAGTAGATTTAGAATATATAGTGGTGGAAGTATGGGACAAAGATGGGAAATATAAAATAATAAATTTCTATAATCCTTGTAAAAATATAACAATTGAATCAATGGAAGAAATAATGGGATATTTAGAAGGAAAGGTAATATGGTGTGGGGATTTCAATGCTCATAGTACACTCTGGGGTAAAAGTAATGATAAAAACGGTCAAGAAATTGAAGAATTGATGGAATTAAAAAACCTAGTGTGTTTTAATGATGGAAGAGGAACCAGAATCAATGTTAGAACAGGAGGAGAATCAGCAATTGATTTAACACTAGTATCAAACTCACTGGCTGGCAGTTGTGAATGGGATATTGATAAGAATACAACAAATGGAAGCGATCATTACCCAATTAAGATTAAAATACAAATAAAATCAGAAAGCACCAAAATAGAGGGGAATAAAAAATGGAATTTCAATAAAGCAGAATGGAATAAATTTAATTATATCAGCGAACAAGAATTACAAAAAATTAACATGACAGCAGATGTAAATAATATAAATTCAAATATTTATAGGGTTATTCTAGAGGCAATAGAACAGTCAGTGAAGAAAGGAGGAGGAAGGAAAGAAAGGAAAAATAGTGGTGGACAAATGACTGTAATAAAGCAATCAAGTCAAGAAATAAAGCCTTTAAAATACTTAAAAAGAATCCTATTTATCAACATTTAATAGATTATAAAAGAGAACAAGCGATGGTAAGGAGGATAATAAAGGAAGCAAAAAGAAACTACTGGACAAAATTCTGTGACACTATTGGGAAAGTGACTAAACTTGATAAAATCTGGAAAGTGATTAAAAGAATGAATGGCATCAGGAAAGAATACTGTATGTATACCCAGTATTGAACACAGATAAAGGAGTGATTATTAAAGATCAAGATAAAGTTGAAATGTTAGCTGAAACCTTTAAAAAGACTCATAGTACAAATAACATCAGTGAGGAGGAAAAGAAAGGGAGGGAAGCCACAAAACTAAAGTATAAATATTTACAACAGAGTAGTGAAGTAAATGATAATTTATTGAACGCACCATTTAAAAAAAGATGAACTAAACAGAGCTCTGAGAAAAACCAAGACAACAGCACCAGGAAAAGATCAGATCTGGTATTTAATGATAGATCATCTCAGTGAACCATTCAAAGAAATCAATTTAGAGCATGTACAACAAAGTGTGGGAGGAGGGGGAACTGCCACAGAGCTGGAAGGAGTCAGTCATCATACCCATAGCAAAACCAGGAAAAGACAACACTAAACCGGAAAAATTACAGACCAATCGCGCTAACATCAGACATATGTAAGATAATGGAAAAAATTATTAATGAGAGGTTAACATACTATTTAAATAGCAAAGGATATATATCTAAATATCAAAGTGGGTTTCAAAAAGGGCGTAATACATATGATTCAGCTTTACGGTTAGAACATGAAATCAGAAAAGCGCAGATAAATAAAGATAGTGTGGTGGCGATGTTCTTTGATATTGAAAAAGCATATGATATGTTGTGGGTTGAAGGATTGTTAATCAAAATAAAGAAATTAGGTATTACAGGAAAAATGTTTAAATGGATAAAAAACTTGTTATCAAAAAGAACAATACAAGTTAGAATAGGAGAAGAATATTCTGAGAAATATGGTGTAGAAAATGGAACACCACAAGGCAGCATCATAAGTCCTTTATTGTTTTCTTTAATGATAAATAATGTTTTTGTAGAAATAGAGGAGGGAATGGGCTGTTCACTCTTTGCAGATGACGGGGCAATTTGGAAAAAAGGAAGAAATATAGAAACCACAGTAGAAAAAATACAGAAGGCTATTAATGAAATAGAAAGATGGGCAATAAAGTGGGGGGTTAAATTTTCAGTGACAAAAACAAAGGCAATGATATTTACATGGAAAAGAATTACAGAAGTCAAAAAAACTGAAACTATACAATCAAGAAATAGAACGAGTCAAGAGTATAAAGTTTTGGGGAATGTGGTTTGATGAAAGGGCAGCACGGTGGCGCAACTGGTAGAGCTGCTGCCTCTCAGCGAGCAGGTCCCTGGTTCAAACCCCGGTCCAGGGGCCTTTCTGGGTGGAGTTTGCATGTTCTCTCTGTGCATGCATGGGTTTTCTCCGGGTACTCCGGTTTCCTCCCACAGAACAAAAACATGCATGTTAGGCTGATTGGTAACTCTAAATTGTCCCTAGGTGTGAGTGAGAGAGTGAATGGTTGTTTGTCTCGTTTGTCTCTATGTGGCCCTGCGATGGACTTGCGACCCATCCAGGGTGTACCCTGCCCCTCGCACAGTGATTGCTGGACATGGGCACCAGCGACCCCCGTGACCCAAAATGGAACAAACGGG